CGGATAGACGGCACACAAAAATAATTTTTCTTACTGCGTCTGTAAAAGAAAAAATTTTTTTGCTAAATATAGGAATAAAATCATGACCCTTTCCTATGCATAATTTGTTCATAAACGGGTCACAAGCACAAGTGCCACGCATTACAGGTTTGTATAATAAAAAAGTTTTAGCCACGTTATATTTTTTCCTTTTACTTTGTAAAAGATGAAAGGTCAGAATAAGACACTTACACGTAGAGAGAAACAAAATTGCTTCAAAAAGTGGCATATCTTTAGAGGTTGGAAGCACGGGTGTAAGGTTTGTGACGAATGCAATCATCACTTACATCTGTATTGCAAGAGATGTAAGAAGGTTGCAGAAGGAATTTATAAGCGATGTGAATGTCCTCAAGTAATTTGATCAATAAAGCAACGGTGCAAATTTACCAGACATTTTATAATTTTTTTTTGCGTGGAGTGGGTTGTGGAATTGTGTGAAACAAGTTTATACTATTATTTTTTCGATCAAGTTTTATTGTAGCTTGATAAATAAATGCGCAGTAATATTATAGTAATTATTACATGTATCACGGGAACAAGCAATTGCGCAAAATAATTTATTCTCAAACTTTCTCGTGCATTCTCAAAATTATGTATAGCCCCTTGATGATCTTTACATATGGATAGCGTTAAATTCTTTTATTGTTAAATTAAGGAGAGTCCGTTGATCAGATTTTCGTGATGCGATCATATTAACGTAATTTCCCCAAAAGCGTATAACAAAATCGATTCTGTGAATTATATAAAAAGGTGATGACCTGGTTAGTGAATCCTTTTATCCGCCTTGTGCAAGTAAAACAAAAAAATCAAAACCAATCTAGCATACCATTATTTACATCGTTAATATCCTTGATCAAACGAACTCCTATATTCCGCAAAACAATAATAAGGTATGTTGATTTTATTGCTCGGTTAGCTTCTTGAGACATGTCATCACGATGTTAATCGATTTTCCTGCCTCTATAGATGTTCCAAAATAAAACGGATATACTCCTCTTGCTATGTATCGGCATTCTGATCTTCGCCGAGAAAATCTTTGACAATCACGCGTACAATAGACGCAGTGAAACTATTCACATGAATCCCATCACATGCCTTAACATCACGCTTCTCAACAAAATTTGGCGCAGTGTGTCTAATAAATTTTCAATATAAACACCTTCACGTGCCGAATTCTTGATATTTGGCACAGTATCGTACCGGCAATAAAAAAATCGAATTACCTTTATTGTAATGCATTAAGTAATAAATTTCAGGCGGAATGCAATGTTGCGAAAATTAATAGTAATGATCGGAAATGTTTTTTTACCTCAGTTGCTAATCTTCCGAATTTATCCATAGATTCGAAATTACTTAATCTCCGAGAAGTTTCATTACGGGGAATATTATTTTACATAATCTGCGTGTTTGGGAGAGATATAGATAGACAAAAATTCTGTG